ACTTTGACATCACTGCATCTAACACCCCTCCAAAAACTAAACAAAAAAATACAATTTATTTATTATGTTTCAGTCTGTTAGCTGAAACATAAAGAGATATTTTCACTTTAGAATTTGCAACTGAGATTTCGAAATTTTTTTTAATTTTTAAAATTGAATCAGAATTGACCGAGAAAGGGTACAAAAACATAAAAAAGTTGCAAAAAGGAAACGTTTTGAAATAAAATTTGTCACTGGCAACAAAACACCGATGGAAATGCAAGCACGCAAAAAGGGACAAAGTCGCGCGCGACTTTTCTCTCCTCTTTTTCCATTATCCTTTCTTTCGCAAGATGTGGGCGAGATTTTCACTAAAGAGATTTTTACCTTTCTAATAATTTCTTCCCTTAATAGCAGAGGTGGGTCGGAAATTCCGATTTCCGGCGTTTTTTTCCTTCCGATTTCCGAAAAAAATTTTTTGATTTCCGATGTCCAAGTTCCAACTTTTGAGCCAGTTCCGATTTCCGGCTCTTCCTATTTCCGATACCTCTGACTGTTCCGACCCTTCCGACTTTTGAGCCAGTTCCGATTTTTGACCCACCTCTGCTTAATACCAAACAATGCTATTTACTATATATTTAATTTATTAACATTTTCATAAAAATTTCCAAAAATTAAAATTTTAAGTTAAGGAATAGATTATTAATTATTAAGAGATTATTATTAATTATTATTAACAACTCTCTCAAAATAATTTGTCTAAATTAAAATTTTTAAAAATACTTACTTCCACTATTTTTTGTTGAAATATAGAAATATTTGGATTAGAAATCAACTCCGAAGAATTAATTGAAAGAAGAAAATCTCTTCCTTTATTTCTAATAATTTCACCAATTTCAGTGTCAGTATTTAATTCTGCCGTTTCAATATTCTTTAAAATACGAATAAGGAGTGACAGTTCTACAAGATCAAAGCTTTTCATGTTGGTAGTATTTAAAAGTCGATTTTGACCAGTTCTCATGCTTCCTATTATTTTTTAGATATTAATATAAAATTAATACATATTTACTAAGAAATTTGTAGAACGAAACTCATAGTTTTTAATTATAAAATTCTGCCTATATGCAAATACTCCACAAAATAGTGCCCCATGCCTATGAGGGGGGGGGTCATGAGCTTGAACCAGTTATGATTTTGAAATACTCGGAGCCTGAGCCAAAAAATGCCTAATACCCAACACTTTTGCCAAAATAATAAATTTAAGTCAGATAGTATTTAGGATATCGAGGTCTTATTCGGTTTCTTTGATATATTTTTAAATTTAATTTAAGAAAAATAATTTGTTAATTTAATAATATAAATAAAATTTTGGGATACGTTTCTTCCAATGCCGTCACTAATGAATTTTCCAGAGGTTTTCCTCTTAATAAGGTGAATTTTTAGGGTGAATTTTTAGTGTTTTTTTAATTATAATAATTTTCTACCTGATGGGGGGTTCATTCCTTTAACCAAATTTTGAGACAGATTTTGGTTAAAAATGAGGAAAAGAGTTGTTATAACGATTGGAAATAACATTTTAGTTAAAATTTTCTTCAAATATAGAAGAAAAAATTATCTAAATATTAAAGGGAAATTTGTATTAGAAATTTTTTTTCTCTAATTGTAGATTTTATTTGTTGAATTTTCTTTTTTTTTGTTGATTTTTTAGAATTAAAAATCTAAAAACGAATTATTTATTCAAACGATCCTAAAATTTAAAGTATCAAATAGTAGTAGAAGACTTGGAAATTACTCGGAATCATCCCCATTTTTTTGATTTTACTCAAATATTATCAAAGTTTTTGTCTGGAAATTGGGATTTATAAATAAAACCGTGGAGAAATGATTTTTAATTCGAAGAGAGGAGAATTTTAAATATTGTAAAGCATATAGCTATTTACCGTATTTTCTCGATTAATTCTTCTCCCTCGAATAATTCCCCCTCTCGATTAATTCCCCATGCCAAGGAAGGGTTGAAAAAATAATTCCCCGGTGGAATTAATCGAGAAAATAAGGTAATTCCTAAGGCTATGCAGTAGCCGGCGTGGTGTAATGGCTAACAACCAGTCCGGTTTACTAAAGATGCTGGTTCGCTCCCAGCCGCCAAATAACCTTTTACACTAGCTAAAGGAGATAAATAGCTATAGCCCAGCTCTGCTTTACTATATGTATATTTATGTATAAGAAAGAAAATTTTTAAAGGTGAAGTCTGGGGATATAAATTTTTAAGGTAATATAAAATGAAAAGCATGGGGGGGGGGTTAGAGAGGTGGGAGATTTTTAGTGGAGGGGAAATTTTGTCGTGGGAAGGGGGGGGGGGATTTATTTATGTCAATCAATAACAATTCAAAAAAAAATTTTTAAATATGTATAAAAAAGATTTAAATAAATAAAACTTTAAAAAGTTTTAAGCTTAGGCGGGAAGTTTAAGGTCTATAAAAAATTTAAAAGAATTTGTTTCCATCTTCCGCCTACTTCCGTCTTTTTTGGTCTTACACCTCTCCTTCCGTTTTATTTTGTAGACCTCTGAAAAATTTTTATAAGGCAAGATAAACAAAAGAGCCAGACTTGGACGGATAATTTAATTTTACGAGAAAGTTTTTTAAGGGGGTGTGGGAATTAATTGGATTTTTAAAGTTCGTGACAATTAAAACGCAATTAATTAATTAACTATAATTATTATACTTAAATATACTTTTAATTTTATTAAAAAATGTTTCAATTATATTTACTTTTTTTTAATTTAATGCACGCAACTTGAATTAATTTGCCTAACTTTTGTTAGTTAAAAAATATTTAAAAAATTAATTTTACTTTAAACGCAAACTTTTAATTTAAACAAATTATTTGCTTTAATTATTAAAAATAATTAAAATTTAAATTAAGATGCCAGATATCTCCATTTCTCGTATAAATGTTGTAGTTGATTTAATTGGCATTCCTTTCTTTCTAATTCTTGTTTATGTAACGATTAAACACAAGTTTGGAATTAGTTTTTAATTTAAAATTTAAATTTGTATGTTTTAGTTATCCCTTTTCAGTAGGGTTGGGAGCCCGGTCCGGTCCGAAAGTTCAAGTCGGGCATCGAATTTTGGCCTGAAAAAGAATGGTCGGCGGCCCAATGAAAATGAGGCCCGAATAAAATGACTCGAACGTCGGCCCGACTCGTAAACCTCAAGCCTACTTTACAGATAAGAGATTAATCCTTTTAAATTTAAATTAGGTATATAAACGTCTTAACTGAACCTTATTTTTATCGAAGCAGTAAATAAAGCATAATACCTCAAGCTAAGGGATAATACCAATACTTAAACTATTCGGTCCGAAAGATCGAGTCGGGCATCGAATTTTCCCCATCTCCCTTGGAAGGTTATTGGAAGATAGTATGCATTTACAGGAAATAGGGTATTTATGGTTCCTTGCTTTTTGCTTAACTCGCGATAAAATCCTTAGCTAAGAATAAAAACTGGCTTTTCTTTTAATTTCGAGCAGTATTTAACTTTGAAAGATAAAATTATCAAACTAGCAAATTTAATTTTTATATTATTTTTAAATTTATTTAAGAAAACTTCAAGGGACATGTCATAAATTAATTGGTATTTACGCAGCTTGTTGTATTCTTGCAAAAATTCAAATACTTCCACCCTTTATTATCATGATTACCAAAATAGATGTTCCTTTATGGCTATGCGCTTTAATTGATATTTTGCCAATAGCTGGTTCTTTCAATATTTATTCTTTAATGCTTGTGATTGCTATAGATAGAATTCTTAGTATATTCTTTCCTATTTGGTCAGATAATTTATTATTTTTGTTAGATGGAGATCGCTCTGACTTTGGATTTCTTTTAAGAATCCTGAGTCAAGATCAAAGCTACCGTATTTCCTCTAATAAAATGCCCCCTCTCCTTTTGGCTCCCCATTCCCTTGGAAGGTGATTGGAAAATAGAATGAATTCACAGGAAATAGGGTATTCATGGTTCCCCGATTTTTGTTTAACTCGAGTTAAAGTATCAGGTGACGATTTCACTTAAAATCGTAGTCGATGTCTAATTTTTTCTGATTTTCTAATTAATATCTGAAAAATTCTTTGGGACTTATCTCCGGAACCGAATCAACATTTCTTGACCAACATTTCCAAACTACCCTAGAAGGACCTCCTGGGCAGCATTTAATTTATAAATAAAATTTATTAAAGGTATTCTTCTCGTGGTGATTCCTTCCATTTCCCGTTTATGTATGGAATTTCTAGCTTATTTCCTCTTACATTCATTATATTTGTTGTAATCACAACATTGCAGGACCCAATGCGGTTAAATTAATTTTTATACATATTAACAAATAACTATTTTCAGCCAAAATTTTTGTTTTCTAAGTGATTTAATAACTTTGAAAGGAGAAGAAAATTTCCATGTTGCTTGTTTGGTTTTTAATTGGACTACAGTTGCTTGTTACATTTTGTTAATTTTAAAAGTATTCTGGGAGGGCAAAAAAGGAAAATGTGAGTGAAGTTTTAAAAGATTCTTTCTCTCAAATAGTATCATGGGATCATCCATTACTGATTATCTCTAAATAGTATAATTCATTGAACCGACCTGCATTTATAATGGAAAATTGGGTTAATGTTTTTGTGCGCCATGCTGAATAGCGATGCAATCAGTTATAGATAGAGTCCGGCCAGAAGGGACGACCGATATTTTGGCGGAGTACATTTTACCGGGAAATTTTAGATTTGAACAATTTATACATACTATGTCTAATTTTGTTCGTAACTCAAATATGCTAAGTAATACAAAACATTCTCCAATATATTATTTTTCCGTTATAATGCAATTGGCTAATTACCTATATAAATAATATCATTAAGCGGTATTTAATTATAATCCTTAATTATTATCGGGTAAGATTATCGTAAATATTATCAAATTAATGGTACTAATCTTAATAAATTCTTAATTTATAACTGTAGTAAGTACTATTAAAATGGCATTGTTCAAATCGCTGTTTTTGATTATGGGTATCCAAATTGGTGGTTGGATGTTTTCTTCTATAGGCTTCTATCTAGTCGATAAAGGATTTATTAAAAAATTTAACGAAAAAAATAATGATTTAATTGGAATATCTATTAATTGTATTAGCTCTTTAAGTTCAACTTTTGAAGTTCCTGCCGTTTTTCTTTCAAGGTTTCTTAGAAATTTTCAAAAAAATTTTTTTTAATTTTCAGCTCAGAACATCGCAAAGCTTTAAAGAAAACTTTAGGCTACGAAACTTCTTCGGTCTATCAAATGACTGTACAAAATAAAATTTCTCCAACCAAAAATCCTGTAATGGTACAGCCAGCTACTCCCGAAAATGTTCAGAATAGCTAATTTATGCTTGATTATTCAAAATCAAAGAGAAAAAAGAAAGAAAATTTATAAATTTTTTATAACTTTTATTAATTCGAAGATTAATATTGTAATATACATATTTAGCCCATCTCATATAAAATAAATAAGATCCTGAATGCCTGTGCGTATGCAGCAGAATTACTTGTTTTCGGCATTGTACCAATGAAAAAAGCAGCAAGATAAAAATTTTCGACTAGCTTTTTTCATCTATTTTTCATTTCCGATTCAGGCCAAAAATTTAAGTTTTATATGTACAATATTTCTAATCAAAATTATTTTAAAATTATTAATTTAATATACATACAACAGGCAATTTCTAACATTTTTAATTAAAAATTTTAACGAAAATTTAAATAAATTTATTGTAAATGCCCATTTGCCAATTTTTCAAATAATGCTTTGTCATTCGGAAATTTTTGTTTCATTAAAATATTGAAACGTTCAATGGCATCTTTCCCTTTCCATTTACAACCAACTGTGAATGTTGCTGTACTGTTTAAGCATTTATCTGCTCTCCAAATATACCTATATGTATATTGTAGAAAAATTAAATTAGGTATATTGCATTTAAAATGGGGATTTTTGAACGGACTTAGGTATTTTTTATTTACCTCATTTAAATGGAATGAGTTTAGCAAATGTTTAGCTACCAGCAGGATTCGAACCTGCAACATCCTCGTAGATATCTTGGCGCTTTCGCTCAGCACATACAGGAGCTCCACTACTGAGCTACCGGGCATCGACGCATCGACTAATATTTTCTCTTTTCTTAGATCGTTTAACCTCCGCCTAAGCCGAAATCCTTTGAGACCCAACGCTGGTGATAATTCCGAATTGTAGGTTAGAGAGGACAAAACAAGTAAGCCCTAAAATATCAAAACTGAGCTTTTATTTTTGATCTTTTACTTTAGCCTTAGGCCCAGCTTTCGCTATTTTATCTTTAACTATATAATTATTTTTCTTTTTTTCGACCATTAAAAAATTAAAATTCCAAAAAGAATTAAATTTACCATTCATTTTCTCTTTCCTCCAACTAAAATTCATTCAATTTAGATTTATTTAAATCCAAAAAAAATACCCCATAACCAAGTCCTTTAAAACAAGCTTTATGTCCCTGTTCTATAGGGCTGTGAAACCAAATAGAAGCATTCGGACATGCCAAATTACAAATAATTCTTTTTTGTTGTTTTTGGTTAGTATTTAATGCTTTCTTTGTTTTTTTATTATTATTTGCATTAATTTCTTCTTTCAATTTTTCCTGAAAAAAAATTTTTTAATTTTTAAATTATTTTTTAATTAAAAAAAATTAAAAAAAAAAATACATTAGCAGCAAAACACCCCAAATCATCTGTCGGTGCCTCCCTTCCTTTTTCAATTTCTTTATCTTTTAAAATTAAACGGCATTTTGCTAAATCCGGGCCAGCTTTTGTCAATCCATCGGGTGTAGAACAATGAAGTTGGCGATATTCTTTAAATTAAGATTTTTTCAATGTTAATGTCCAAATTCAATTTGGATGGAAAAATTTTATTTATTTTCTTAAAAAAATTTTGTTTATTTGAGACAACTTAACCTTATACACCTCATTTGGGTACATTATACTCGAGATCGGCCTAGGTCTGGACCAAGGCCTGGCATCTTTTGACCTTCATGGAATTTTCCTGGACTACAGGCCCAGGTCAATAAATCAAACCCGGAACCCAGGAACAGGCCCAGGCTTTTCAAAATTTCTGATCTCTAATTTACAAACTCGTGGCTCAGAAACAAAAAAATATTGGGGTAATACTAGGGTTATAAAAAAATATTGGGGTTATTGCTTGGGCAGTTCCACCCCTCCTTTTGTCATACAGATTTTAGATCATATAATTTAAAAAAATCTTACGATCTAATTCTTGTTGTGCCAAAATAATTTGAAATAAGACAAAAAATATCCAAAATAATTTAGCATAAATTATTTTATTATTATTCATTTTTAATTAAACAAAAATAAATAATGAGTATTTTTTGAGACCTTTTATTCTTCTAAATTTTAAAAACAAGAAAGCAAATAAATATTTTTTTTCCCCTTTTTAATAATTTTTATATCTTGATCTCTCCCTTTCTCACATCTTTTTTTGGAATAATTAAGTACATAATCTAATCTTTTTATTTAATAATTTATTATTTTATGAAGACAAATAAGGAATATTTTTATGATGTTATTCATTTATTTTTTTATCCTGAACTTGAAATATATGGAGGGGTTGGGGTTGTCAATTTGGGTGGTTGTCAGCGATTTTGATCGACTTTTTTTATCCGTCCTCCAATCCGAATGAATCTTATATTATTTGAATTTTCTGATCTACACAAATTCTTCGATTAACTGAAACAGAACTGACAAAGAGAAACCCGAACTTTTCGATTTTGGTAAATTTCATTTTAAAATGGGAATTGAAGATAATTTTTTTAAAATTCATTATTAAAATTCCTAAATTATCCTACATAGCAGACATTTTCGTATTTATGTATATTGCCCTTTAGATTAAAAAATTAAAAATATAAAACAATTATTCACAGTTAGAGATATTCCAAACATATCGTGGTTTCTCTTAATTTATCAGAAGTGTCGTTGTATGTAAAGAAAAGGGAGAGTCCACAAAAATATTCCTTTTTATTTTCGAATATGTATTTTCAATTTTATCAATTTTCATTTAAATTAGTTGATTAAATTATTCAATCGCAAATAAAAGCTTTTCTCTCCTCTTTTACAAAGGAACACTACCCAACAACCTACCAACCACCCACAGTCATTTATTTTATTTTTTTTTCCTTTTTTCAAACAAAAATTTGTATCTTTTTCCTATTACAACAACCAAACAACACAATAAAAAAACCTTTAAAAATAAAACCTGTATTTTTGTTTGGAAAGAAACTTTATTGGAAAAGGAACAATTGAAGCGCAAAAATGATTGGCGTAGGTAGAAAGTGTTAAAATTGTGAAAAAATACAAAAAAATCTTTTTTAATAGGTAAAATAAAGGAAAGAGTTAATTTTTAAGTTTATTTTAAAATTTTTCTTTCAAATTTTGCAAAAAAAGGAAAAATTTTTAAGTCGAGCGAAGATTAAAAAATTAAATTCTATTGCCAAATTTACTTTTTTAATGCAACATTTTTGAATAAAATTTTTATTTTAAATTTAAAGACTGATTTTTAATTTAATTTTTATTTTAACAAATATTTTTTAACCAATAAAATTTTTTTATTTTACAGAAAAATGTATTATTATTCTTTATTAGAACCTCTCGTTTTATTCAAAATTTTATTAATTATTAATTTATCTTCCTGTCAAGATTTTAAATCGAGATTTGTACAGGATGGTTTGTCTATTGTTTTTAATAATAATTAATTAAAAAGGGCTGTTTAAAAACCTTTTCTCAATTCCCTAGCCAAAATTTTCTTTAAAATTAATTAAAATTTAACTGATTACTCAATAAAATGTTTAGCATATTTATTAATATTTCCTTTAAGCTAATAAGTTTTTTCAATTGAGAAAACTTATAAAATGTCTACGTAACTTTGTGTCAATCACTTTCTTTTAAATCTGTGGAAATGATAATCTAACTTGAGGAAAAAATTAACTGGCTAATTTTACTACCTTTTTAATCGGAAAAAAATTAAATGATAAAAGCAAATCCATTACTAATGCTGATAAAGCTATAATTAATTTATTACTTTATAGATTTCCTCCCAATTCCATTATCTGCCCCTCTCACCGAAGCAGAGAATGGAGGTGTGTTAAAGCAGGATCCCCGCTGTTTGAAGGAACATGACGTGGGCAATGGAACAAACAAAAGTTGGAAAACGTCATTTTCTTGTTTTTTTATTAATTAAAAATTGATTTTTATATGAGAAGATTTTTAGAAATAATTTCCAAAATTTCTTAAAAAAATTTTTGGGGAAAATTTAAATTAATTTTTTTATATTTCCTTTAATTATTTTAGTTGAACGGTTTTATTTTGATGCTCAAAACTCTTCTTGTAATTTATTTCTTTATTCGGGAGAGGGAGGAAACCAGAACAATTTTTTAACAGAAATTGACTGTCTTAACAATTGCTATATAGGTAAAATAATTAATTATTTTAAAAAATTGTAAAAATTGGAACGAAATTGTAGATAAAATTCTAGAAAACATTGAACTAAAAAAACTTTTGTAATAATTTATTTGAAAAACTAATTTAAAATATTAAATTTTTGCCCTAACAAATTCAAGAGTGTTGTAGGGATAATATTTACATAACTGTCCAAGACTTTGGTATTGAATCTTGAAAGATTTTCTGGTTTTTCACATTTTTAAAAAGGTTTTTATCAAAATAACCTATCTTGCTTTTGAAAAGTTTGAAACAAAAAATTAAATACAAAAAATAAATTAGTGAATTTCTCTTATGTTAACTCTCATCTTATGGCAAGTATTCGTATATCAAATGTATTACTATGCTTGCTAAAAGCTTGAAAGTTAATACAGCATTTATGCCACACAAATTTATTAATAAGTGTTATGGACTTAATAAACTTAATTGGTCTAAATTTATTTATTTAGATGTCAATGAAGGAGCTCCTTTAAAGGAAGAGGATGTCCACATAATAAAACAAGAAGCGGATCTCGGCCCAATTTCAAATTGTAATGGAAAGAATAAGGACAGACCAGAATGTAATGAGGATGAATCTAAGGGAGGAACAGAAAAGAAAGGAGAATTAATTGAAGAAGAACAATTTTCAGTTATTTAATAAAAAATATACAAAATTTTAATTTTGAAGACTTTAATTTCTTAATTTAAATATTAAATAAATTTTTTTATTCCGTTCTTTACCCTCTAATGGCTTGTTGGTCTATAATCTTGGAAAATTTTCATATTGAAATTTGATTCAAAAATTTTGTCTTAAATTTGGACTGAGTATGTCACTCCGAGAAACTTAATTAAAAACAGATACTATGAAAGTTAAAAGATTAGGAACCAAAAGCAAAAATGGGAAATTTTGATCATTTTTTAATGCTTTTTTCTCTTAATAGGAATCGAACCCAATCTTAATTAGAAATAACAGGCGTAGTCTAACATCAAACCACTTAACCAACCGACTAAAACGATGACGTAAGAGTTAAAAATATTTCTTTCACTTTTAAATATTTAAATATTCTAAAAAATTTAGGAAAATATTTTGACAGAATAAATATACCTATCTTGGGAACTCAATTTTCCGAAAAATTTCTAAAAAAATCCATCTTTCGGGGTGTATTTTCTATACCGAAACGAGAGGTTTAGGCTTTCGATTTTCGGTTATATCGTCAGTTTCGGCCCCCGGTTTTCGGCTTCAGTTTCGATTCACCCCTAATAATAACCAAACTATTTATAAATTAAAAAGGAATTTATTAACATTTTAATAAAAAAAATATAATCATTTTTTATTATTTTTCTATTTTAGAATTGTCAAAATTAATGATTAATTTTTTTTATTTTTTAATCAATTTTTAGTAATATACACATGTTTTAATAAAAATTTATGTTTTTTTTAATTTTTTAAAATAAATCTTTACTTTCACAAACTTGTCCATTCTTCATCATTTAAATAAATTTATTAAAATATTTTTCTTTCATTTTCTCAAAAAATAATTTTCTCTTTATTCAATTTATCGCATTCCTAATTGCATTTTCCTCCGTATATATTTCTACTTTTTTTTTGTTTTTTCTACTTTTTTTTATAAATATTTATGTGCCGCCTAGGAAAAAGTTAGCTAGGAAATTATTGATTTTTAACTTGGAAGTTTTTTGGAATTTTTTGAAAAATTTTAAAAAAATTTATTTTTGATTTTGCTTTTGCGTTAATAAATGAAAAGAAAATATCTTAAATTTTTAGAAGAAATGCCCCCATCATCGTTTCCATTTTAGGAAGAACTGTCAAAAATGTCTTCCCTTAAAGTTTTTATTCGATACACTTTTTCCTGTTCTTGGATATCCATGGTCGACTTTACTTAAGTTTAATTAACACAAATTTAAAAATTCTTAAACCGTTAAGGGGTTGTTTGTATTTTTCATTAAGCTGTGCGCAAAGCCCAAAAATAGCCAAAAATTAAATGACCAACTTTAGTAAGTAAATCAAATATGTAAATATATGTACATAACTCCTTTATAACAAAACACATTTTTTATTTCTAACTAAAATACTAACAACTCTAAATTGTCATTATACATATTATATGCAGAACCTCAATATAATCAACACTTTCCCTTATCCTTACAGTGTTGCCTGTTAAATGGAAGGGTTCCCTTCCTATCTGTCAAAGTATTTACCTCATCACTCCACAAATATTTACCAAATTTCTAAACTCTTTTTTCGTTTAGAATGTTTGTTGGGTTTTACATATTTACATATCAATAATCATTTCTATATTATCAATATATCACTTGAGGAATTTGAATATTATTTAATTTTTAAAATTATTTTTCCCTAAAATAAAATATTAATTTTCATAACCATTCGTTGACTTGGAATTTTTAAAATTTCCTTCCATGTTAAACTTACTAATTTTACTGTTTCCAATTTGTATAGCCTGTAATCTGTCTTTTCGTTTATCACGTTATCCTAAGGATGATGTGAGGAGCTTGTGATAAGAGAGGAAACTACCATACATATAAAGTTTAAATATTTGACATTGGAATTTATTCCCAATTTGATATCAATGATAGAGAGCTTAAATTCCAATATTGTTTTATTGGGTACATCCCAAGGTACCGCAAGGCTAAGGTACCACCTAGCTATAACTTTGTTCAAAACGAAGTTATAGCTCAGCGGTATTTTGGCCTGCTCCTGTTTTTTGCTTTTTTATGAAGTTCAAGGTACTAACAATGGAACCATACGAGACAGATAATTTTCCTAAACTCGAGACCATAAATTTAAAAACGGGATTAAACATCTCGCACGCTTCTATCAATTATATTTCTGCCCTACCTCTGCCAAACTATACATACAACGTTTAATTTTTAGCTTTACATATTTTGAATTCTCTTTCATTCTCCCTTCCGAGGTCCCTTCCATATTATTTTGTATTTTCAATCAAAATCCTTAATTTCTTTTTATATTTTTAAATTTTTTCATTATAGCCAAATTTGGATAAAATTTGATTTAATCCTTCTTTCCAAAAATAATCATTTCTTTCCGTCGGGAATTAATCTTTTTTGTTCATTTCCACTTCAAAAAACCCCTCCTATTTTTGGTTGTTATCTCCCCTTCTTCAATTTTCCACTTGTTTTTTCCTCGGCCTAATTTATTGAGGTTGCTTTTATTACTCACTCTCGAATAAATAAAAATACTAAAAGAGTGTAAAATGAATAAATAGATTGAATAAAAATGTCAGAATTGTTATGTATAAGCGTCATAAATTCTCTCTTTATTTCTTTTATTTTTTTTTCTGTTTTTGTTTTGGGTGTATATTAGCTGGAATTATTTATTCATTCTAAAATAATTCTTTTATTGGCAACTTTATTTTCTATTTAATTTTTATGATAAAGCCGCGCATTTGTGTTTTTTTCTCTTGAGGTTAATTAAATTAATACAATCAAAATAAATGATAAAATTTAGAATATTTATTAGCCCTTTTTCCAAAACTACGTATAGAAAACTTTTTTGTGCTATATTTTTCCAATGGTTTCCAACTTTTATCAACAACTTGAGTAGCTCTAAAGTTGGTGTGAAATGCTGGAGATGGCTGAAGACACTCCCTAGTATCGCATATCGGTGTTCTGATGACCAGAGGCGGGTCGGAATTCTGATTTCCGGCGTTTTTTCCGATTTCCGATTTCCGAAAAAATTTTATTTCAGATTTCCGAGTTCCGACTTTTCAGCCAGTTCCGATTTCCGACACCTCTGACTGTTCCGAGCCACCTCTGCTGATGACTCTAAGTAACGGGTAACGGGATCGGATAAGTCTTTCAATTCTTCTAGTATTAGTCTTCATTTCATTTTCACTGACCATTTCTAAGTTCAAGGATATGTGAAAGTTTGGTGCTGTAATGTGTGTTCGTTATTGTGTTCGAAAACTTTTATCAGAAAAATAGTTTGAATACTTAAATAAAACATTTATTTTAAGCAAAATTAAAATAATTTTTAAAATGTTCAAAAACCCCAAAAAAATTTTTAAAAAATATTTTCAATAAAAAATTCCATTTCAATGAATAACCAACCAAATTGGTATATTCCCCCTTAACTTTTTTAACACATTTTTTCTTTTCTTTTTTTTTAGTTTTTCCAGATTTTTCACTTTCCTTTTGCCCCGTTCTTTCCTTTTTTACATTTTTTGCATAGTTTATTCTTCTAAATTGCCAAAATTGACAAAATAAAGCTTTTAGTTAGTCAAACAAAAAATTGTTTTTTTTAAAAGTCTTTTTCTTTTGAAAAAAAAGAAACAAAAAAATATATATTAAATTTAATAAATTTACAACAATTTAATTAACAGCAACATAAAATGTTGACTATACTCAGTGACAACGAAAATTTGTTGGAACGTTTGGTTCGTAATAAAAATGAAATATTAATTTTTGGGGAGAAATAATTTTAAAAAATTAATTTCAAAATTAAAAATAAAATAAAATTAAGCTTTTAGTCGCTTATAAAGGAATGTTGATGTTTAAATAAACTCTTAGAGAATGGGCTTCAATTAGAAAGTTGGCATTTTTAGAAGGGCTTTTTAGGCAGGCTTGTATTAGATAGGGTTTCTAACACGACCGGCTTTAATTAGGTATTGAGTAGGGTTGTTCCCCGTCCCCGAAAGTCGGGAAATTTGAGAGTTCCTCGTGGCACCCCTCCGTCGGGGAACAACCTTATTGAGGGAGAATTTTTTAATAATTTAGACATCTTTTCATAATAACTCTCCATATTCTTTTGGCGGTACGACAATTGAGGATACGCACTTGAGGATATGACAAATCAGAACGACATTTGAGGACGACAATTGAGGATCTGACATATGAGGACGACAAATGAGGACGACATATGAGGATTTGACAAACGAGGATAAAAATGAAAAATAAAAAAGACTTGAAAGATCCATAAAACTCGGAAGATCCCCACTTGGAAAACCAATAATGAAGAATTCTTCTCTTTCCAGCGCTGAAGGCGAAAATTTTTCAATTTCAAAAGGTCAAGGATCACCGTTTTTCATTATTATTTTAATCCTCAATTGTCGTCCTCATTTGTCATATCCTCAAGTGCGTATCCTCAATTGTCGCAACACCATTCTTTTTGGGTGTATTTTTGCGCCTTGATTCTGTTTCTTTAATTAAATTATGAAAAAATATTTTTCAAATACAGTCACGGACAAAAGTTTGGACGCAAACGATTTTCAAACTTTTTTTTCGAATATTTCTATTAAAATCAATAATTTAAAAAACAAATTTTTTGTAAAATAATGCTCCTTTTATGAACTTTAATATACATCAACAAAATACTGGAAAACTTTATAAAAAAATTTTTTTGATATTTAACCAGAAAAGGGGGTGGACAAAAGTTTGGACGCAAATTTTTAATAAAAAATATCCTACAGTATAATGGTCCAAAAAATCTACAAAAATTTCTGTGAACAAATCCATTGATGTTGAGTAGAAAAGGAAAAAGAATGAAGTTAGAAACTTCTTTTTTCATCGAGATTTCGAACCTCAAAAATCAACGGAAAATGGGGGTACAGTACTTTAAAAAATATTTCTATCCCCTAGGGCTTTTATAAAAATTTTTCTTTTGGGCCCATTAAAGAGCCCATAAAATTTCCTACAAAATAGTCCTGGTCTCATTTATTTTAAAAAATGGTTGTTCGAACTGCAGACACTTTTACATAAAAATGGTCAAAAAACCCCTAAAATACCCCAATAATGATAATGTAGAAAATTGCCTCGACTCTGTCTCATGAGCTTTTATTGGAAAAATAAAAACTTGTATTATTTTGTAGCAAATTTTATGGGCTTTTTAATGGGCCCATAAGAAAAATTTTTATAAAAGCTCTAGTGGTAAAAATATTTTTTAAAGTACTGTACCCCCATTTTCCGTTGATTTTTGACATTCGAGATCTCGATGATGGAAGAAGTTAAGGACTTCGTTCTTTTTGTTTTTCTATTCTATATCACTGGAAATGTCCACAGATACTGTAGGATATTTTTTATTAAAAATTTGCGTCCAAACTTTTGTCCACCCCCTTTTCTGGTTAAATATCAAAAAAAAATTTTTTATAAAGTTTTCCAGTATTTTGTTGATGTATATTAAAGTTCATAAAAGTAGCATTATTTTACTAAAAATTTGTTTTTTAAATTATTGATTTTAATAGAAATATTCGAAAAAAAAGTTTGAAAATCGTTTGCGTCCAAACTTTTGTCCGTGACTGTATATTCAAAAAATTATTAAAGGAATTAATGACTCAGAACATGCCAAAACCACAAAACACCGACAAAACAATTAATCCCCCCATAAAAGCTCGCAGTCGTTTACTCGGCCAAATTAATACAAATTTAATAAATAATGATTTTGTGTCATCACAAATAATGTCAGAAACAGAAGAAAATAAAAAAGAAGGAAAATTTGAAATTTGCAGAAATTGGATGATTTTAATGGGGAAAAGAAGTTTTGAAGAAAGTCAGGCAGCGATTGAGTGCTTTTCTGATTTGTTTAGATTTTCGTTGGCTATGGTAGGTGAGCTGAGATTTATGGAATTAAATCAGAATTATTCTTTTATAAAATCAGAATTTAATTAATAATGAATGGAATCCCTATAAATAATTACCGTATTGTCTCTAATAGAAGCCCATCTCCAATAGAAGCCCATGCCCTATTAGAAGCCCACTCAATAGGGGGTATTGAAAAATAAAGGCCCATGCCCCAATAGAAGCCCATGCCCTAATAGAAGCCCATCTGATTTTTGACTATCTATTTTTCTATTACTCGTGTCATAGTCGTCTTAAGGTATTGATAACAAAATTCCAGTCTCCAAAAATGAGTATAGAAGTATATGAATGGAATATCGGGAAATTTGGATGAGTTACATAGAATTTAAGGTGAATTAAGAGAATTTAGAGAAAGATAGATGCGGGTTTGAGAAGGTATCTAAGGAATTGTGGTATAGAGACTATTGTATGATTGAGTGGGATATCGTTGGCTATCAACGAATTAATAGGAATATTCAGAGATTGAATATTGAGAGATTTGGTTGAGAGATTTGGTATTGAGAGATTTGGTTGACAAGTATTCAACTACTTCCGTGCATATACCTCGGTTCAACCAAAAATTCAATATCGAGAGATCCCTCGATAGATAGAGGTATCAATAATCCTTCCATATTTATCCATTGAGGATATGGAAGGGATTAAGAAATTAAGGCACTTAAGAAGGAGATTAAGTGTACTAAAAGAAAGAGCATATTGGAAGATTAAAGTGGGATATTGTTAAAGATAAAAGGATCAATAGAGATATTGAAAGTTAAGGTGTAAAATTGATTTAAGAGCAAGGGGGATATCGAGGAACATTTTGGAATTAAACGGATATTTATAATTAAGATGGATTTAATAAAGATGGATATGTAGCTTAATCTGATCATTCAGGAGTTCATTAATAGTGATTTGCGGGATTAGAAGGGATTTACTCATTACTTTGTTGAGGAAAAGGAGTTTTAGTGATATTTATATTGATTTTGATATTTAATTTTTATATTCTTTTCTGTTTTTTTCTGCCAAGCAGTTAATTTCTGTTGCTTTTATTTTTTATCTTCTATAAAATTTCGATATTGAAAAATAAAAGCCCATGCCCTAATAGAAGCCCATGCCCTATTAGAAGCCCAGTCAATGAGAGGTATTGAAAAATAGACGCCCGGGGCTTGTATTAGAGATAATACGGTAATTTAGATTAATCAGAATTTTTCAGAAATAATTATATTCGTATATTAAATCAGAAATAGTAAAATTTTATCAGAATTTTAAATCAAAAATAAAATCAGAATTTTATCAAATAATTGATTCTTTAAATCAGAACCAGAAAATAAGTGAATAAGAATTAAATCGAAATCAGAATTAAATAAATAAAAAAGGTGACCAGAATTTAAAACAGAATTATAAGTAATTTAGAATTTTTATACTAAAATTAAATCAGAATTGAAATTTTAATAAATTAAATATAGATCAGAATTTAATCAGAATTAATGGGAATTTATATTTAAAATAAAATATAATATATAATTATTATAGAGAGGTTCATTTTCAAATAAAATTCTTTCTGAAAAAGAAGAGCCAATAATGAAAATATTAATAGCAAAGAAAGAACATTCCCAAGATGATGAACATTGTCTTCGAGAACAGATGGAAATTATCAGAAAAAATTGGACAGAACAATGGGGTAGTGGGCAATTAGACAGGCTTAGGTAGAAGAATTTGAGGGCTTTTAAAATTAAAAGAAATTATTAGACGTTTCGGAGAAAGTGAGGCTTTGCAAGAACAATTAGAACGTACTCGGCAATGGATGGAGGAGTTTAAAGAAGTTGGTGATTTGTGTTGTGCACTTGCCTATTTTGATGAACCTGAGCTAATGGCAAGAAGAATTTTCTTTCTAATAAATGAGATAATCTAGCCTTACTACAAGATAACCTCAATTTAAGATACATTAATTTAAGATAGTGAATTTGGTTGAAACCTAGCTGCTTAAAGCAATATCCCCTACATACATTTTTAGGATACACTTCTTTATAAGATAATACAAGTTTTTTTATCCCCAAGGGGCATTTAGAAGTGAAGTACGAATATATGTAATTAATGCCACTAAAATTTTCCTCTAAATTTTCAGACTACAATGAACAAATTTTTCGAAATTGAAGAATCAGGATTTGAAATTTTGGACTCTTTTGAACAAGACAATGATTTTGTTGGACATCGGCAATTATTTACTAAAGCACCAGTATGGAAATTATATGTAGTAAATTAAATAAAAATTTCCCCCTTTAGGCATTACATTGGACAAATTATCCACGCGAATCAGATGTCCAAGTTACGTTTAAATTTACGTTCCCAAAGGGAACAATCCCCGAATGGATATTTAGAGATTGGATTAAAATGGCGAAAGAACAAGTTGAATGGAATTATATATACGAGTGGAACAATGGGGTTTTGCTACGAGCTGACGAACTTGTAAGGAGGAGGGGGGGGGGGAAGATGGGGTGAGCTGGGGTGAGAAAATAGTCGGGTCGGGGTTTTCAAAATTTACTTCTGATTTCGGTAATTAAATTTTGGGAAGATCCAGCCTACAGTTTGGAGGAACAATTCCTTATAGAGGAAAAGGAACTTTATTTTATAGAGCAACTTATATAGTAAATTGGCAATTATTTTATAGGACGAGGGGAACAATCCTTATAGAATATTTAAAATTCAAAAAAATTCAGGTGAAAATCACCCTAATTCGTCTTCAAGGAGAACCTAATATTATTGAACTTTCTGGGAGAATAGACACAGAAGAGGCTGCCGAAGAAGAATTACAAGAGAGAAGGGACAGCAATGAACAACAAATTGAAGATGGTCTTGATTGTAGTCCACCCTCTTGTCCATTAAAGAGAGTTTGGCCTTTTTTGGTGCAAATTTTTCAGCCTTTGCTTTCTGGCATTGATAGCTACAGAACACTTCCATTTAATGTATAAATTTATTTTTTAATCGGGCATTTTTATATTTGATTGGACACTGGGCGGAGGGGACTTCCTAAGTGAACCCTAATTTAAGATACACTTTTTTATAGTACATATCTCATAATGAGACCCGACTTTAATACGATTCAAATTATTCCCAAACTTTCAGCTAAGCCTTATGTTTATTGGCGAGTGCTTCTTTACCTGCCCAGAAGGTGCGCAAAAATTAACTGCTCGTTCTCTGGATGCTATCCAAACCTTAAGTTCTATTCAAAGAATTAAAAATGTCCGGTTTAAAGCTGATCAGGATCAGATTTATTCTCTCAATTTGGATCAATGCTTTCCAGGTACAATAAGTCTAATTTTAGAAACATTAAAGAGTTCTCTCTTTTCAGACTTTCGACCTACCAAAATGACTGACTTTTCACCAGCTAATTACCCTCTAACATTGAAACAGCAACAAAATTATTCACAAACTAAAGGCAACACTAGTCCCCTCTCTCCCCTATTATATTCCTCTTCCTCAACTTCTGATGAACCGGCAACGTCCGCTACTTCCCTGGGGGATTCCCGCGTACAATCACCACGAACTGTGACAGAGAAAAAACGTGTGGATCGCTCCCCGTCTTGTGTTCCTTCATTTGATTCAAAAACTGAACAGATTTGTTCCTCTCCCTCACCTTCTCCACAGCCTCAGCATTGTTTGAATGTGGAGGGAAGTGGATACAAGTAAATAATTTTACGCTAAAATCATAAATTTGCTAGACTCTTCCCTTTCTCCTCCCATAAAAAGTTCTTCCTCAGTCTAAATTAGTGTTGGTCAAGGTCGAGCGAAAATTTTTGAATTTTTGTAAGACTACGAAGCCAGATTTCTTCCATTTCTTACAAAAAAGTCAATTCTTAGGTGTGTATATTTATCTTCGGCCAAGAGACGAGGTTCCGAGGCCCGAGATCAGCAAAATCGAGGACGAGGTTGAAAAATCGGCGAGGACCTCTGCCTCAGCCTCGGCGAGGCCTCGACCTCAACCAACTCTAGTCTAGATTGTAAGCTTATGGTGTCTTTGGGTTTAACAATTTAAGAGTGTCAGAATCATAAAATTATTTACACTTCAATTAAATTTTTAAAGAAATCGCGGCCGCCGTGTCTCTTTTGGCATTATTCATTCTATACCAAATACAAACAGTTCCAACACTGCTGGAGCTTCTTCCCCTTTACTAATGAATATTTCTAGTAATTTTTCTTTATCCAAAGAAATAAAATGTGAAGAAAAAAATGAGGAAAATAATCAAAATGAAGAAAACCCTAAAAGTGCCTTAGTAGAAAATATAGTTGATGAAATGTTACAAAAGGCGATTGATCAAGTTTTTATTAAAGAATGAAAAGAAATTTTATAAAAATTTTCTAGATTTTTTTGGAGATATTTTAATATTTGTACTTTAAAAAATTTATTTATTAAGTAAAATTAAATAAAATTTTACTGGGTAAATTTTTATAATTAAAATTAGGGTTGTGCCAAACCGTTTAGCTAAACGGTATACGATATACGGGTCTCAGATAAACGGCATAAACGGTATACGGTTTTTCAGAATTAAACGGTTTGGCACGACCTTAATTAAAATATTATAATTTAAATTTATTTATTTATTTATTTATTTATCAGCAAACCACAGGTATTTTAAAATACATTAAAGTGGTGCGTAAAAAAAAATATATACAAAGCAAAAAAAATATGTGAAGCAACATGTAAAGCAACAACAAAAAAAAAAAACATGAAAAAAAAATATATATATATAAATAGTAAACAAACACTCGAAAACCACGCACGCTAGGGTTTAATGTCCTTAGTATTTTATAGAATACTGTTTAATGAGACTTCTAAATTTTTTCGGATCATTTATTTTAAATGGCTCTGTTGGAAGTTTATTCCAGTTATTTACCACTCTGTGAAAGAAATTATTTTTTGTTTTATTTGTATATTTTTTTGTCCTAAGAAGTAGAGGCCTGCGAAAGGATCTATTTGATAAATTAAAATATTTTTGTGAATTAAGGGATGTAAAACCTTTTATAATTTTAAAGGCGGTGGACAGATCGGCAACCTTTCTTCTATCTAATAACTTTTCGAGTTTACAAGTATTTAATCTTTCTTCATATGGGACCTTGATTAAACCACATTTTTTGTAAATATTTTTAGTGAATAGTTTTTGGATTTTTTCAATTTTCTCTATTTGATATTTCATCTGTGGATTCCATACTTCAGTTGCGTATTCTAGTTGGGGTCTTATATATGTCTTATATATATTAACGAGGAGATTTAAATTTCTAGATTTAATGATTCTTATTATTTGGGAGCTTTTTAAATATGCGTTTTTTATGATCATATTTATATGATTGTTAAATGATATTTTTGAATCAATTAATATTCCAAGATCACGAATACATTCTGTTTCTTGTACTTTTAATCCATGTATGGTATATTCTCTTTTCATGTTATTTTTACCTAGATATAAAGCAAAGCATTTGCTAGGGGATATTTCTAAACCATTTAATTCTGTCCATTTTTCAAGTATTCTTAAAACATTATTGAGTTGTTCTCTTTCTATGCCGTTTTTATGAGCTATATATAGTTTTACATCGTCTGCGTATAGTTTTACTCCAACATCTTCAGGGATTTCATTAGGAAGATCATTTATAAAAATAAGGAATAAAAGTGGTCCTAAGACACTTCCTTGAGGTACGCCCGAAAATGTTTCATAATTGTGAGATAGTTGGTTACCAATCTTAATCTTAAAAGTCCTATCTGATATGAAGTTTTTAAGAAATGCATAAACTTTTCCGGTTATGCCTGCCTTTTCTAATTTATCTAAAAGAATATTTATTGGTACAGTGTCAAAAGCCTTAGCAAAGTCGATATAAATAATATCTATGTTATATCCATCTTGTATTGCGTTATAAAAATCATCCATGGTAGATAACAACTGTGTGGTTGTGGATCTTGATTTAAGAAATCCAAATTGATTTTTATTAAAGAACTTATTATCTTCTAAGAATTTTGTTAATTGTTGTGCAATAATTCTTTCAAAAATTCTACATAATGTGCATGTTAGCGATATTGGACGATAATTTTTTGGATCTGATTTTTCTCCCTTTTTATATAATGGTATAATAAGCGAGGATTTCCAAATTGATGGAATTTGTCCATTATCAATAATACATCTAAAGATATCTGTGACTAATTTTGCAAGTGGGTCGGCGCAATATTTTAGTAGTATATAGGGAATATTATCCGGAGAAGTTGAATTGCGGCCAGGAAGTGATCTAAGGACGTCCCACACAATGTTAGTATTTAACTCTATGTCTGAAAATTTTGTTTTTGGATTTATATTTCTGTTACAATTTGATATGTTAATATTTTTATTTTGGAAGTTTTTTTGAAATTCTTTGCCCAAAATATTACATTTTTCTTCATTACTGAAGTAAAATTTATTTTCCTTATCAATTAAACAGGGTATGTTATTATCTTGGGTAAGTCTGTTTCTAATAAACTTATGTATCGAATTTCCAACTTTATTAATTATTTTTTCTTCCTTAGTGTTATGGTGAATTTTTAGTTGTTTTTTCAGGTTTCTTGAAACGATTTTATACTCAAGGCTTAAGTTTTGATCATGTTTTCTTTCTTTAAGTACTCTGAATAATCTAAGTTTTTCTTTGTGTAGTTCATTAATCCGTTTGGGGTATGTTTTCCTTATTATCTTATTCAAAGTTCTTATCGGTATATATTTGTTATAAAGATACAGTAATTCTTTTGTCAGAAAATTATATTTATCTTCCACAGTGAACTTTGTTAATATACCTAGATCTAAATTATTTTGGAATATAACTTGAGCCAAATTATTAAAATTGGATTTACTTAAATCTCTGACATAAATTTTTGGTTTTTTAATTACTTTGATCTGATCATATAACTCAAACTCTATCATTTTGTGATCGGAAGTTGAAAAATTCTCCCTAACATTAACATTTCTTACTAAATTGGTAGTAGGTGTGAGTATAAGGTCTAGGATTGAATTTTCCCTAGTCGGTTCAGTAACAAGTTGATTTAATTGGGTTTGACCTATAAACTCTAAAAATATATTCGCGATCTTGTCATAGTTATCGGTTAATTCCTTAGAATCCCAATTTATGTGTCTAATATTAAAATCTCCGCATAATATTGTTTTTTGATCAGTTTGATTTAAAAGGAATTTAAATAATTTTTTTGTATTAAGAATTGAACTATTTGGTGGTCGGTAGATGTTTATAATGTTAATTTCTTTTTTAAGTAACAATTTTATATGTACAATTTCTGATTGGAATTTAGAGCCGTTAAAGATTATTTTAAACGGTATATTATTTTTTATTAGGATTGCCGATCCGCCACCTCTTTTTTCTATTCTATTAGCTAATATAATCTCAAAATTACCCCTATATGATAGTTCTGAGTTTATTGTATTTTCTGTTTTGAGCCATGTTTCATTAATTAATATAATGTGTGAATTAGAATTTTCGATTAATTGATTTAAATCCGGTATTTTATTAGCTAGGGATCTAGAATTGAAAAGTAAACATTTATATGATTGAAAATTTCCAGTATTTATTTTAGTCTGTGGTTTGCCTGCGTGTCCCTATTTATTTTTGGTTGCCCTGAGCGGTTGTGGATTTTTGAGTGTAATTATTGACAGGTCGACAACTATGTACTTAAACATGTTCTCGGCCTGATTCATAGTAAATGCTTGCTTTCGCAAGTTATACAATATATTTAATTCATTACGAGTCATATCACGTCTTGCAGTTATGAACTGAGGAAAAGTTGGATTTTTCTTGAGACATTTACGAAAATTGTATAAAAAGTTATCCCTAGATTTTTTGTTGGTGAATGGAATTTTAACAATTCTTGGTTTTTTATTTAAAACATCTTTAGACTCACGTGGATGACGATGAATTTCGTTTTCCAACAAATCTTCTGACACTCCACAATCAGCCGCAATTTTTTTAGCTATATTAATGATGTCTGTGTTGTCTGGAGCTCGTTCAATAACCATAATTGTGACTAGGTTGCCAAAATGGCCCGACTCGGACCGAAAGATCGAGTCGGGCCTAGGATATTTGGCCCGAAAAAGACTCGTTTGACCCGACTCGATAAAAATGAGGCCCGAAAAAAAATGAGGCCCGAAAATATTCGAATTTTTAATAAAAGGTTGAATCTTTAATTGCTCGACTTTTTTATTCGAAATTTTAATTTTTTTATGTTTTAAGATGTTCCCCTATTTTTTGCCTGTTTTTGAGTGGCTGTACTTTAGTGTTTTGAAAAAGGCCACCCGGGTGTATAAAATGAAAGATAAACAACATTCTATGTAAAAGTGGGAAAATGTAAATGAATGGTTGGCGGCTGGTACAAAATAAGGGAATTAAACAGATGCGCTTAGGTAATATAATAGTAATAATTCTAAATAGAAAAATATAGGAAAATCTAAGTTTAGATCGGACAAAATAGGGGTAATTTCAATAGAAAGAGTTTAAGCTAAATGAAAAAAAAAATAAACTTTAAACTATCTATTATTTATCGCTTGTCGCTGTAGAAGAAAAAAATGCGAAAAAACAAAAGATTACTTTCTATTTAATTATGCTTAGAATTTGAAAATAAGTTTTTAAATAATTAAAAGTTTTTTTAAACTTTTAACCAAAAATATAAAATT